AATAAATGAAAAATATTAAGATAGCCTTTTCTCTAAGAGTTGGAACTTAATTCCACCCTTTCCCCATCTTGAGTAGGGGCTGGATTTAGTAACTTGATTCCAAAGAGAATGTGGTAAGAAAAAAGCGGTAACTTTGTGGTGAAGAAACCTGACAGATACTACCATAATGGAGTGATCAAAGTTAATAAAACCAATGATTACTCATGTGGGTAGTATAACCCTCCGATATTCTGAGAGGACTAAATCACCTCTGTGTTATCTTCCCCCCACCCCACAAAAGACCATAATCCCTGTCTAATCATGAGGAAAACATCAGACAAATCCAAATTAAGTGGCCCTGCAAAATACCTGCCCAATGTTCTTCAAATTGTCAGTCATGAAAAACAAGAAAAGAATAATATATTATCACAAATCAAAAGACCAAGGAGGTAAGACAAATAATGCACTGTGGCATATCCTGGATTAGATCCTGGATTAGATCCTAGAAAAGACAAAGGATGGTAGTGAAAAAAGTAATGAAACCCAAATAAAGTATTGAGTTCAGTTTACATAAATTTGCCAGTCTTGATTTCCTTTGTTTTGATAAATGTACCGTATTAACATAAAAGGTTAACATGAGGAACCACTGGGTAAAGCATATAAGGGAATTTATATGCTCTGTACTGTATCTGCAACTTTTCTGTAAACCTAAAATTATTCTAAACTAAAAACTTTATTTAACAAACATCAGTAGGCTTTTTTGGTAAAAATTTCAAGCTGACATTAAGCTGATATAAGATTGATATGGATCTAGACTATCCATTACAACTTAAAAACAGAAAAACTAATTTAGAGTATTTACACTGATTTCAAGCCTTATTTTAAAGCCATGGCAAGCAAGACAATATGTTGTTGAGGAAGAACAGAGGTATAGATTACTAAAACAGAACCAAGAGTTCGAATATGGTTCCATACAGATACTGCTCAATTTATATTTGGCAAAAGTGGTCATATATTGCAATGGCAAATGATAGTTTTTTTCAATAAATGGTGCTGGAATGACTGGATCTCCAAATTAAAAAAATTAACTTTGACTTTCGCCTCATACTACACATGCATAAATATTAATTCAAAATGGATCATAGACCTAAATGTATAACCTAAAATAATATTCATTTAGAAAATATGATGTTCTATATATGTGTCTAAGAAAATTAATCTTTTTAAAGAAAAGGTAGGGGAAAATCTTGTGACCTTAAGTTAAAGATTCTTAAATAGTACACAGAAAATGTTAATTTAAAAAATTTTAGGAAATTGGACTTCATCCAGATTAAAAATGTTTTCCTACCAAAGGTACCATTAAGAAAATGAAAAGGTAATCCAAATGTTGGGAGAAAATATTTGCAAGCATATATCTGATGAATAAGTTATATCCAAATATTATTAAGAATTCTTACAACTCATTAATAAGAACACAACCCCCAAATTTTTTCAAAGGTCAAATGTTCATATAGACACTTCACAAAAGAAGGTTTAAAAATAGCCAAGGCCATAAAAAGATGTCAACACCATCAGTCATCAGGGAAGTGCACACTAAAACCACAATGAGATACCATTTCCTACTAACTGAAATGGCTAAAATATAAAAAGGGTAATAATACTATTAGCAGGGTTTGGTAAAACTGGAATTTCTATGCATTGCTGATGGAAATGGAAAAATATGCAACCACTTTGGAAAACAGGTAGTTTTTTAAGGAGTTAAATATACACTCATTATACAACCCAGCAATTCCAGGTATCTACCCAAGAGAAATTAAAACATCTCCAACTCAGCTGTCCATAAGAATATCCATATCAACATTATTCATAAGTGTCAAATATAGGAACCAAGTCAAATGTTCATCAACTGAGGAATGAAAATAGTAACTATCATGTATCCATATAACTAAACACGGCATGATTACATTTCATTGAAATTATAAGAGTGTTATAGTGACTGAAAGCAGGGCAGTAGTTGCCTAGTGTCAAGGGGTGGGGTTAGCAATTAACTGCCAGAGAGAGTAAGAGAACACTTCGGGATTACAAAAATTCTAAAATTTGAATTTGGTGGTAGTTGCACAAAATGAGAGAATTTTATTTATACATAAATTTTACTTCATAAAGCTATAAAAATGATACTATTACAATAGCATCAATAATATTACATACTTGGGAAAACTAACAAAATACATGCTATTCTTTTATAAAGGAAATTATTGTACTTTTTAGAGACATTTAAATGAGACATAAATAAATTAGAGATATACCATGGAAAAATCAACACAAACACATACATATGTCTACACACAGAGAGCTATTTCCACTTTCTTAACCACAGGATCAAATTTAATATTACCAATAATAGAGAGATATTATGTGTCTCCTTATGGAATGTAATAGAAAGTATAAAACACATCACCTATATTGTATTCTTGCCAAAATATTTATCCTTAATGTACTCATAAAGAAACAATCAGAAAACTTCTTTACTATCGATACAATACTACTAACAGATAATACAAATTACATGAGCTTCTACTGTAAAATGCCATGTTAGTGTCAGGAAAAACCAAAACCGGGGGAAAGGGTAACCTTTAGATTAAAAGAGTAAAGAGGCATGCCATCTGTGATAGCTCATTTTATGTGTTAAAAAATAAGGTTATGTATTCATTTTATGAGAGTAGGCAACAGTATCCAGATATTTGGTTCAACACCAATCTGGACAGTGCTCTGAAGGAGTTTTTAAAGGACATGATTAATGTTTAAATCAGTAAAAGCTTACTAGTATAGTTCAGATTGCCCTTCATAATGTGGTGGGGCTTATTCAAAGGTTGAAGGACTTCAGGAAAAAATAACTGAGGAAGAAAGAATTCTATCTTCAGATTTCCTTCGGACTGGATCTATAATATCAACTTGGCGTCTCCTGCCTGCCAGCCTGCCCTGCATATTTTAATTAGACTTACAAGCCTCCATAGCTGTGTGAGCCAATTCCTTAAAATGAAACAATCAACCTCTGTCTCTGTCTCTCTATCTGTCTTTCTCTTTATCTATCTATATACATGTATACATATGCAAAATACACATACACATCACACAACCTATCAGCTTGTTTCTTTGGAAAACCCTGACTCAAAATTGCCAAATAAAATATATAACTCTTGAGTGTATACAGGTATAAAGAAAACAGCTATTTAGAACATTATGGGGACAATGGAAAAAAACTGAATATGTATCAATATTAGAAAATATCATTGTATTGATATTAAATCTTTTGGTGTCACAATGAAATTTAAAGAATTCTTAGAAGATAAAGGGTTAAATATTTAGGAGAGAAATGCAGTGTGTCTATAATTTACTTCTCAGTGGTTAAATTATAATAGAAATAAATATTCATATATTTATGTATATTTCCTACAACTAACTGTAGGAAAATTTGCAAAATAAAAATTGGGGAGTTTTAAAAAGGTCAGAGAAAAATTAGGTATGATTCAATATTCAAAGATTCCCCAAAAAGAAATATAAACTGTAGAACATTCAGACCAATTAATGTGACTCAGTGCTAATAAGAAATGAGTTAGCAAGCAATGGAAAGGCATGGAGGACTCTTAAATGTCTGTTACTAAGTGAAAGAAGCCAATCTGAAAGGCTGCAATCTGTGTAACTCCAACTGGTGCCATTCTGGAAGGGCACAGCTGTGGAGGCAGAAAAAAGACCAGTCAGTGGTTGTCAGAAGTTGAAGGGAGGGAAGGAAGAACAGGCAGCGCACAGAAAATTTTTATGGCAGTCAGTGTATTATATATGATACTCTGGAATATCAAAAAGTGCACTCTACTGCAAACTATGGACTTTGAGTAGTAATTGTGTGTCAGAGCAGGTTCATCAATTGTACCAGATGTACCACTCAGGTGTGAGAAGTTGATAGTAGGGGGAGGGGGTTGTTTTGGGAACTGCTCTAAGAAAATAAAGTTTAAAAAAATAAGCATTTTTTAAATCACAGATTATTCCAATAAAAAATTACAAACAAATGAGAAAGAATAAACTTAATTGTTTTGGGGAGATCCACACCTAGAAAATGAGAGCGATAACCACGGTTAAATATGAAAGATGGCATGAACCAATCAGGAAAGAGTACCAAGTAATACTAAATACCAAGAGTAAATTGACCTCAAAATGTTAAATATAGTTATATGTTCCAGACATTCCACTACTAGGAATATACCCAACAGAAATGAAAACATATATCCTCACAAAAACTTGTACAAAAATATTCCTAACAGAACTATGTATAATAACCAAATAATACAAATAGGCCAAATGTCCATCAACTGATAAATGAATAAATATAATGTGACATAGTCATACAATGAAACACTATCAGCAATAAAAAGAAATAAAGTACTAATACAGGCTAAGATGCAGATGAACCTGGAAAACATCATGGTAAGTAAAAGAGATTAGGCATGAAAGACCACATATAGCATGATTCCTTTCATATGAGATGCTCAGAGTGGGCAAATCCAGAGAGGCAGAAAGTAGATTAGAGCTTGCATAAACTGGAAAGGAAGGAATAATGACTTGGGTAAAAATAGGGATTGGCTGCTAATGAGTATAAGGTTTCTTTTAAAATTTGATTCTAGTGATGAGTACATAACTCGGTAAATATACAAAAACCCACTCAATCATAATGAAACCTCAACCCATTAGGAGGCAAAGCTAAGAACTTCTGCTTCTAATCAACTAAACAAACTCATTTGAATGGCTTTTCAAGGAAGTCAACCTTTTAATACCCTAAGAGTTTGTTTCTAAGACATAAGGATTGACAATAGATTCAAAAAACGTTTTGTATCTTTTAAATTACAGTAAAACAAGTTTTAGCTCATGAATTTTACACCAATGTCATATGTAAGGAAGTCTGGTAGTGGTACATTTTTCTAATGTTCATTCATGAATTCAGAGATCTTTCTTGTTCTTTTTGTAAATACCTTGTAACCAGGAATACCCATTAATCCATCCTTTCCATGGCGTCCTGGTTCTCCCTGAAAAATAAATATAAGTATTTTAATATACTTTTGCAATATTTTAAAAGAAAGATACTATAAGATAATTTTTTATTTAAGGCAAAATATGCAAAAACTTTTTCTCTCGAACTCACAGCACGTCCAGGATGGCCAGGAAAACCAGCACTCCCCTTTTCACCTTTTGCACCCTGTATTTAAAAAATAAAAATAAAAATAAACTTTAAAAACAATCCTTTCAATAATTCTTTAAACTTCCAACTCAAACTTAAGTAGGAAAGTAGGTTAACCTCATTATGTAATGACAGAATTCATGGAACTACAGCTTGTGTTGGCTTTGCAACTTGTTGACAGAGTATTAATTTACCAGGCCAGTGGACAAAATATAAGGCATTGAAAATATTGATGATACAGAATTATTACAAACATCTAAGGGTTGAGGGTGGGAGGTGGAAATGTCTGGGGCAGGGGGAGTGGTGGGGGGTAAATGGAGACAACTGTACTTGAACAATAATAAAAATATATATACAATAAAAAATAGAGAAACTACACATTGGAAAAATTAAAAAGGCAATGAGTACTGTAAATATACAGCGAATATAATCTTCCTTCAATGTGAAGAAATAGGAAGATCCATAATATTCTCAACAGACACACCGTTAAGCAGCTATCACTCACTGTAATTATTTTAAAAGTTCAAAATGATCAACAACACAACCTGTTCTAACAGATTACCATGTATAAGAGTCACCAGTTATCTTTTCTTTTTTAATAAACCCTTGAGAAATGTGAATAAAACAAATTACTATAATGGTGGGTTGGGACTAAAATTTAAGTTTTCTATTTCTATTACACCGAAAGTTCAGTACGGATACTTCATTCTGTGATCCAGACTTCCCTTTTTGCCATAAAATCCAGGTGATCCTTTGTCTCCTTTGGGGCCCATTTCACCCTAGAGGACAAAATATCAGTTATAAACAAGAGTTTAATACGCCAACATCAAAATAAAATGGAAGTAAAATAACTTAAACTTTTTTACAAAATAGGACTTTGTTACAAAAGTCCTATTTTCCAAGCTTTATAAAGAAAAACAATGCCTTGTCTGGCATAGCTCAGTGGATTGAGCACGGGCTGCGAACCAAAGTGTCGCAGGTTCGATTTCCAGCCAGGGTACATGCCTGGGTTGCAGGCCATGACTCCCAACAACCGCACATTGATGTTTCTCTCTGTCTCTCTATCTCCCTCCCTTCCCTCTCTAAAAATAAATAAATAAAATCTTAAAAAAAGAAGAAAAGAAACAGAAAAGGAAAAATAAGGACAGTTGGTACTATTGCATGGTCTATAGTATAAGATTTATAATTAAGAGAATTTCTATATAGTGAAACATCAATTTTTAAATACTTTAATTTTATGACTGGAAATTTTAAAGAAATTTCATAAAGCTTTATGTGAGCTATGATATCAATCTTAAACTTATCATTTACTTTAACATACTTTATATATGAGCATTTATTTATTTATAACACATTTGTAATATAAAGTTTAGAATTTGGAATACTATATGGCATTGCTGAATTTAAAAAGACCAATTTCTCTAACCTTTAATCCTGGCATTCCATGAAGCCCAGGAAAACCAGGAAGTCCACGGTCACCCTGAAAATAAAACTGAAATTAATTAAAGAATGCACATTTCAGCCTAAAAAATTCATCATATATTTTTCAACTTTATCCTTTTAAAACCTATTGAAAATACACCTGTGAACAGCTAAGTGCATACCTATATTAAAACTCTGTCTCTGTGAAAGATTAATGTTCATTTATCAAGGTTTTATTTAAGTTCAGAGAAGGAAAGCATTTGGGGGCCTAGGGGAATCTCATCAGCAGCTCTAACCACTCACTCAAGCTCCATCCACACCTCACATAAACAACCTTCACTCAGCTATCTCTAAGTATATGGATAGAAACAATTGTGTTAGAAGGCCTTCAGTAGGACCAACAGGAAGAAGCCTGCAGGCCTTGGGAATGGGACTGGGGTAGGTTCCCAGGGATTGCCAAGACAAGGATCTGGAATGTGGTCTACAAGGGGGTCATGAGCTACAGGTTGGCCCTGATGACCCATCACTCAACGCTAAGGAACACAGCTGAAGCAAAGCCTATCAGGGCTTCTGTCTTTCTGAGAACACTAATGACAGAGATTTTGCCAGTCTTCTTCTCCATGTCTCAATAGTTTCTTCTAAGATTTTTTGTTGATCTTTAGCTTTAAGATATTTTGTTGTTCCTGGTTGTCAGCTAATATGGAAGATGAAGGTAAGCTCTCAGTGCATACTGTTCATAGACTGAGCTTCACTATAATATGATCTGGTTGGGTCATTTCATTGGACAACACTGTACATCAGTGGATTCTCCACAGTTGGATCTTCTACAGCTTTGGCAAACAGACTTGGCTGACAGCATGTGGGGTAGGAGAAGTCGGGTAGGAGAAGCCAGCATGAGTAAATGAGCTCTAAATCAGATTGTTTTAGTACAACTCTACCTTTTCTTCCCAGTCTAAAGACCCTCAGTTTTAACTTTTCCATGTATTAAATTTTATATTTCTGCCAGGGTGAAAAAAGGGAATTTATGTGGCTGTACAGAGTTGAAGAAGAAATAGTGGGATTTCATTGTTATTAATGGGACATCCAACCACTCCATTTTTGGTTCTACTTGTAATTTACCACCAATTTTAGAAATACTTGATATTATGATTTCCTGAGTCTTTGGGATCCTGTGAGCATGGATGTATGAATGTGGCTGTGTGTGTATACACGCATACACAGGAAGTCCCTTCTGTCTCATATGAATCATGTGACTTCTAGTTTTAGGATTCAGCTTCCTTGGATCTTTTCAGCTTCCAAAAATGTGGATATGTTTGTTATTTCTTCTTTCACTCTCTCTGTCATAATAAATCTGGAAAAGTCAGTGTTCTTGCTGCCTGTCACTACCAGAAGTAATACGTAGAGAAAAGGATTGAATCTTTATGGGTGCTTTATTCAGATGCCCACAATCTGAGAAAATGGTGGGTTATGTACCCTAAAAACCATCTTAACTACTTATCTCAAGCGAATCTTTTTATAAGGAAAAGGAAGGGTAGGTAATGTGTTGGGAAAAGGTTAATCAGATAAAAGTTGCAGTCTAGCAGCATGTTTTCTAGTATTTCTATATCTGCTGATTAACAATTGTTTATCTGCATCACAGACATCCCTTCCCTGGAACCCAAGGGTTCAGACACCATCTCCATCCCTCGCAGACCCTCAAAGGCATAAAGGCTGAATTGCTTGTGGGCCTCCCAGAATCACATAGGTCCTGCATTTCAGTTCCTGGAACAACAGCTTTCCACATGCATTAATCACTTAATCCTATCAACTATAACTAACTAAAATCTTTAACTCTTGAGTTCTCCTGTCAACCTTAGGTTTTATTATTATAAAATTGTTATTATTCCCTTGATTGCTGCTTTAATAAGAGTTTAAGATAGAGGATAAAGTTAATGTGTTTGTTTGACCCTTCATTGTCATCCAGAAGACTTAGTGACTTATTGATGATTCAACATCCAGGCATCTTGCCTACAATAGAGGTAGGTTCATAGCAGTCTGATACAGAGATCAGATCAGATCACTGGAGAGGAGTGAGGTGGGGCGGGGGGCATAAGTGGAGACTGGCCAAAGTAATGGTAAACAAGCAAGCTCAGCACATGAGAGGCCACTCTACCATTGGTTGGAGACATGGCAGGGGAATGTGCAGATATGCCAGTGAAACTGAAGTAGTAATCAAAAACCTCAACGTACCCAAAAGCTCTGGACTGGATGGCTTCACAGGCAAATGTTATGAAACATTCAAAGAAGAACTAACTCCTATCCTTTTCAAACTATTCTGGAAAATTCAAGTAAAGGGAAGACTCTCAAACTCTTTTATGAGGCCAGTATTATCCTAAATCCAAAACCAGGTAAAGACACAAGAAAAAAAGAAAATTATAGGCCAATATCTCTGATGAACACACATGCTAAATATTGGCAATCTGAATCTAGCAATACATTAAAAAGATCATACAGAATGATCAAGTGGGAGTTACTCTAGGGATGCAAGGATGGTACAATATTTATAAATCCATAAATGTAATATACCACATAAACTTAAAGACAAAAACCACATGATCATATCAACAGATGCTGAAAAGCATTTGATAAAACCCAGTACCCATTTATGACAAAAACACTCAGCAAAAGCATACCTCAACATAATAAAGTCCATATACAAGAAACCTACAGCCAACATCACACTCAATGAGCAAAAACTAAAAGCTTTTCCATATGATAAGGAACAAGACAAGTGTGTCTGCTTTCATCACTCTTATTCAACATAGTACTGAAAGTTCTAGTCACAGAGATCAGACAAGAAAAAAAAATAAAAGCTACCCAAATTAGAAAGGAGGAAGTGAAACTGTCATTATTTGAAGATGACATGGTAATGTACATAGAAAACCCTGTAGTCTCCACTAAGAAACTACTCAACCAAATAAGTGAATTTGGCAAAGTAGCAGGATACAGGTCAATATTCATAAATCAATGCCATTTTTGTATACCAACAACAATCTCTCAGAAAGAGAAATTAGGAAAAATTCCCATTTACTATAGCAGCAAGAAATACAAAGTACCTGGAATAAATTTAACCAAGAAGGTAAAAGACCTGTACTCAGAAAACTATAGAATACTGAAGAAAGTAATTGAGGAAGATACAAACAAATGGAAGCATATAACATGTTCATACTACCCAAAGCAATCTATACATTCAATGCAATTCCTATTAAAATACCAATAGTATATTTTGCTGATTTAGAACAAATATTTCAAAAATTCTTATGGAACCAAAAGACCCCAAATAGCCTCAGCAATCTTGATAAAGGAGAATAAAATAGGAAGTCTCACAATACCCAATATAAAACTATACTACAAGGCCACAATAATCAAAACAGCCTGGTACTGGCATAAGAACAGACACACAGATCAATGGAACAGAATAGAGAGCCCAGAAATAAATCCATGTCTCTATGGTCAATTAATATTTGACAAAAGAGGCATAAGCATACAATGGAGTAAAAATGATCTCTTCAATAAATGTTGTTGGGAGAACTGGACTGGTACATGCAAAAAAAAAAGAAAAAGAAAGAAAAAGAAAGACACTAGACCACCAATTCACACCATACACCAGAATAAACTCAAAGTGGATAAAAGACCTAAATATTACTCATGATACTATGAAGTCCTAGAGGAGGACATAAGCAGGAAAATCTCAGATATCTCATGTAGCAATATTTTTGCTGATATATCTCCTAGAGAAATATAGGAAAAAATGAACAAATGGGACTACATCAAATTAAAAAGCTTCTGCACAGCTAAAGAAACTATCATCAAAATGAAAAGGGAACTGACTATATGGGAGAACATATTTGCCAGTGATACACTGGATAAGGGTTTAATCTCCAAAACATATAAAGAATTCATACAACTCAACACCAGGAAGACAAACAATCCAATTAAAAAATGGACGAAGGTTCTGAACAGACACTTTTCCAAGGACATACAGAGGGCCCATAGGCATATGAAAAGATGTTCTACGTTGCTAGCTGTCAAAGAGATGAAATTAAAACCACAATGAGATACCACTTCACACTGGTCAGAATAGCCATCATTAATAAATCAATGAACAACAGGTGCTGGCAAGGATGTGGAGAAAAGGGAAGCCTCGTGCATTGTTGGTGAGAATGCAAACTGATGCAGTCACTATGGAAAACAGAATGGAATTTCCTTAAAAAAATAAAAATGTAACTGTCTTTTGACTCAGAGATTCCACTGCTGGGTATATAACCCATGAATCCTGAAACACCAATTCAAAAGAACCTGTGCATCTCTATGCTCATAACAGCACTATTTACAGCAGCCAAGTGCTGGAAACAGCCTAAGTGCCCATCAGAAGATGAGTGGATCAAAAAGCTGTGGTACATTTACACAATGGAATACTATGCAGTAGAAACTAAAAAGGAACTCCTACCTTTTGCAACAGCATGGATGGAACTGGAAAATATTACACTAAGCAAAATAAACGAGTTAGTGAAAGACAAATACCACATGTCCTCACTTATAAGAGGAATGTAATAAACAAAATAAACTAATGAGCAAAATAGAACCAGAGGCATGGAAACAAGGAGCAGACTGATAGTGGCCAGAGAGGAGGGGAGAGGGAAATAATGGTGGAAAGAAGGGGAAGGTAGTCAAACAACATGTATGAATGACCCTTGGACAATGATGTGGGGATTGATGGAGGGAGTAGGGGGTAGGCTAGGCAGAGGAGGGCAAATGGGAAAAATTGGAACAACTGTAATAAAATAACAATTAAAAAAAAGTATTCTGAGGAGTCACTATTGGTTGCATCCATGTTTACAAGAGATTAGAATCAAAGAGAATCCAAGATGTACAGGAAGATGGTTCCATTTGCATAGCTTGCCTCCAAAGCTTTTGTGACTGATACATATACCTTTGAAGAGGCTATTCACATCATAAGTTGATCCAGAATCATAGTTTTTAGAATCAGGTCCAAATTACTTGTATCAGCAATAAAAGAATATGAAAACTAGTATTTTAAAAACCTCATTCTTAGCCCTGGCTGGCATAGCTCAGTGGATTGAGCATGGGCTGCAAACCAAAGTGTCCCAGGTTCGATTCCCAGTCGGGGTACATGCCTGGGTGGCAGGCCATGACCCCCAGCAACCACACATTGATGTCTCTCTCTCTCTTTCTCTCTCTCTCTCTCTGTCTCTCTCTCTCTCCCCCCTCCCTTCCCTCTCTAAAAATAAATAAATAAAATCTTTAAAAAAATCAAGATTTAATAAAATTAATAGTTTTTAAAAAACCCTCATTCTTCTAAGCTTTTTCAGTATATGTATTTGTTTTCAAAGAATACTTGCTTTGTACAGTAACATAGGCATATACTTATGCATATATATGGGACCACATGCCCAAAGTATTTTACTGCAAAGAATCTGCAATTTAAAGTTTGGTGACCTATCATCTAGAGTAAACTATCACACCTCCCTTGAGAGATATGTAGACCATTAATCCTGTTCATGGCACAATCACCTCAACCTAAACTCATTCATCCAGGCCCCACCCTCTACTATGTACTTGGTAGGCATTCAGGAATTCTTCTCACAATGCAGGCAACAATGTCAAAGGAGAACAAACCTCACTGCTACAAACTATTTTGGACAAAGCAGAAAACATGGAGAAAAGAAAGCCACACTGAGATCAAGACATTTTATCTCAACTCCCTGATGCTTGAGTAACTTCAGACGAATGATTTAAGTTTTTCACTCTTCAGTTTTCTAAACTATAAAAGAGGAATGGCTCACTTAACAATTAATGTAAAAATAGGCATAGCATGACTTATTCAACTAACCACATATACCTTTTGTGAGAATTTCAAATGATAATAATATGTATAATGCCAATACAAAATATGTCTAAAAATAAAACAAAAAATATACACACAGCAGTAAAAGCCTTCAAGCACCCAATACATTACAAGCCTTACACATTCTGGTTGTTTATTTCTCCTTTAAGTAAAAAACAAATGCTAAGTTTTACTCAGGCTCAGGCAATAGTGACTTACTGGGAACCCTCCAAAATGCTCCCTCTCTCTCTAACACAAGGATAGGTATTTCCCTGGGATTTGGGGATCACCACTGGACTACTCAAGCCTAGGAAAAAGTAGATGCCGGAGCTCCTACTACAGCTTATCATTGACCACAGCACAGAGTATACCCAAAGTGAAGGTGAGAAGTCAAGTTTAGAACCAAGAAAAGTAGGAAGCACTCTATAAAAATTCAATAAAAGTTGTAAGTTTCCCAATGATGCCAGTAGAAAAAAATAAAACAGGACAGAAAGATGCATAGCAGCCAATAAATGAGGCAGGACATGGAATCATCAGTTCTTCATAATAAACTGAGATGCTGAATCCGTTACAAAGCCTTAAAATCAAAGAGGTTGAAAGATTAGGAAACAATCCAGACTTAGCAAAACTACCCATAGAAGTACTGAAATCCCAAATCCACACAGTGCAGCACCATATGCAGTGGAGGGACACTTTACCCCGACTTTTCAGAATATTTAGGGAGGTCACAGCTAGTGCCACTTTGGAAGAAGAGCATCTGAGCAAAGGATATAGGAAAGAAGAAAAAATATGGTACCACCCTTTTCATAAATAGTAGAAAACATTTCTTCAGGAAATCCCTGGTATAATGACAATCCCACGGAGTCTTCAGATTCAGATAAAGCAAAATATTTTATAAGAAAATAGTGTATATGTATGTATATTTATTCATTTAATATTATTTTATTATATTGATTATTTATTATATTAATTAGAACATCAGTTATATCAGCATGTTAATCATTACTATGCTCATCACCAATATGTTTATATATTTTCTACATAATTGATATTCCTATGTTATATTTAATAATATTAAAATAATAGACTCTACTAAGAAAGGAGAGGAAGGGCACAGGACTGAACACCCCCACATTTAGAGAGTGGAAAGAGGAAAAGTAGGTAATAATTAAAATGTGAAAAAGTAACCAATTAAGGCAAGAGAAAATATAGGAACATGTGATATCTCGGAACCAAGAGAAAAAATCATTCCAAGAAGAAGGAAATAGTCAATTGTGTCAAATGCTGCTGAGACATCAAACAAGACAGCAAAGATTACTGGAAAACAATGACTACTGGATTTTGAATATGGTAGACATTAGTGATCTCAATATGCAGAAGGTTGGGATAGAAAGCCTACTGGCATGGGTTAAAGAGATAAAGGGAAGTGAGAAAGTGCAGAGTGAGTAAAGGCATGCTTGTGCTGTGATGAGAAAGAAAAGTGGGGTAGTAACTAAAGAAGGCTCTCTGGTTGGTTTGAGATGGGTCATCCTTTGGCTACTGACTGGGTGTTTGAGTTGGCTGAATTCAGGGCTCAGCCTGCAGCCTGTAGCTGCTTTATGCTTCTCCCCCGCCCCCCCCCCCCCGTTTTCCCCCACATACCACTGTTTGTGCTGTGGTGCTTTCAGAAAGCTACACGAGTGGACTACTTTCTCTTTTTGAGAAAGCCATAAAAAAAGCAGCAACTCTGCTAAGTCAATTCTAACTACTTCTCCCTCCTATGTCACTAATGGCTTTAATATTTTTAAACATAAAATGCATCTAGTGTACATCAGTATTCCTTGCATGTAGGTGTTATACACATTATTTTTAAAGAGAATAATTTTGCAAGGGTTATAGTTAGAAAATTAGTGCAGGTTTTTACCAGGAGCAAAGAGAGAACTTAGAAATAAGATTGCACTTCAGGAATTAAGCTAAAAAATCAACATGGGGATCTGAGCAAATAAAAACGGGCATTTTAGATGTGGACCAGCTGCCAGGACCAATAGGCCTCATTCACTTTCATGGCCTCAACCGGATCCATGGGGAGGAACTAACTTATTAAGCATGTTTAAAGAACATGTACTTCAGTAGGAAGATTGGCAAATTTCAAAGTTGTAAAAAAAAAATTGGAAAGTTGGCACTTGAAATGTTATCTGTACCCACTGGAACTCTGGGGAGAAGTTCCATAAAGCTAAGCCAATAGGCCATCTGTCAGATAGGAATCTATTATGGACACAGGGATACCACGCTATCTGTGGCTAACAGGGGACACATGCCACTCACAAAATTCTCTCCCTTCTAAGAGGGTCGATTCCCACCAGCTTTCAGAGCTTAACCAAGGGAGAGAACATGGCACTGGGATAATGCCAGTACCGATACCATTTGATAGTGGTCATCAAGTAATCTAAAAAAATAACACCTTTATTAGAAAATGGCCACTGACAAATTTCTGAGGCCACAGATCTTGGAATTCACCAAGGTGAACACTATTGAATGGGAGTCATCATAGGTAAAATCCCTGTCTTTGAGTGACTGGAACAACTGGACACATATGCACACGCGTGTGTGCGTGTTTGTGTGTGTGTGTGTTTACCTTTTCACCATCTCTCCCTGGTTCTCCTTTGTAACCTGGTAGTCCTCGTGCTCCCTAAATTAGGCGCAAAACAAATTTTGTTAATTGTGGTTTTTTGGTTCACTAGAAATGCTGTTTCTAAAATGTGCATAAACAGATCACATACTTGTATTCCTGGGGATCCGGGGATACCGGGGGATCCTGGCATTCCCTGATATCCCTAAAGAAAAGTAAACAAGCAACAGTTAGTATGTCATCTCACTCACAAAAAGCAGCTCTGCATTTCAGGATTCACTCCTGTCTCAAGTTTCTTACCCATAAGACTTCACTTAGTTTAAGAAACCAAAATAGCAAAGTATCAAATGCTTAATAAGAAATTCATACCCCTCAGCATTTAGGAAAAAAAGGTCTTGAATATCTCTAGATTAATAAAAACATCCAGAAATGCTTCAAGTAAAATGATAGCTCTGGGATCGAAATACAAAGCCAATGGTCACAGATCCTAAAGAAATGTACTGTACAATTAGAACATATTCAACATATTCAGGAGAAAAACACCTAAAACTGCAGGATTAACAAATGTAATACATTTTTAAACTACCTGATTAATGACCATCCAAGTTAATCCCTAGAGTAAATTAAACCCTGTTGAATGTTATCCTTCAGAGTAAATCTGTAACAGCCTCTCGATTGCTCATTTTAGAAAGTTACTGATGTTAACCCCAAGAACATGGCTGTGACGTATCCCTCCACTTCCCAAGGATGAGCTGTCTGCTGAGGCCATGGTCACTTTCATCTCCACCGCTTCTTACACATCCCTCCAGAAATTGGACCCCTGATAAAACAGCACATCTTTTTCAGACAGGAGGAAACTATTCATTCGTCACTCAGCACATGGCAAATGAACTAAAAAACACACTTGAAGGCCCTGACATTTGTCTAAGTTTCTCAGGGCCAATGTCAGGTTGCCTTGGACCACCTGAAACCTGCAAACAAACACATTTACCTCTCTTATTCAGGTTGCATCTTTCTCAGATCTCACTGTTTGGATACAGCTTTCTGTTTGTCAATAGTATTAACAAAGATCTCATTAATGTTTCAGTTACATTGTCACTTAAATCCAAAAGCATGTTCTTGAATCCAAAAGCTTCATTTCCACATGGCTACTCAGTGGTCTTTGTACTTACCCAATCACTTGTCAGTACCCATCTAGCTACAGTTTTAGAAACATCATAATTCTATGCTTTTCCAGTCCCATTTTCAAATATTTCTTTTGCTACTCTTTGTTAGCTCCAGTAATAACAACAATAACAGTATAGTGGCTGTCTCAAAAATATCAGCCACAGATTATAGTTTTTCTCATTTCACAAGCACTTGCATTTCTTTTTTAAAAAATATATTTTATCAATTATGCTATTACAGTTGTCCCATTTCCCCCCTTTATTCCCCTTGCCCTGAACAGTAAAATGACAGCAAACTCACAGATATTAACAACCACACCTAAAACAAAAATGAAAGCAAACAACTAGAACAGGAATAGAACCACAGAAATGGAGATCACATGGAGGATTATCAACAGGGGAGTGGGAGGGGGAGAGGAGGAGAAAAGGTACAGAGAATAAGTAGCATAGATGGTAGGTACAAAATAGACAGGGGGAGGGTAAGAATAGTATAGGAAATGTAGAAGCCAAAGAACTTGCATTTTTTATTTTGCAAAACATTCTCCATTACTCCCAGAATGATGAAGAGTATATAACGTCAATTACCAACTACCATCCTTTGCTTTATACCCCATTCAGTATTCACAGGCTATATCATTACACTTTATGAAGGATGTCTCCAACTCAAATTTTCCTCTTGAGTTCCTTTGCCCAGTCCTTAAACATTTTACTCCACCAGTGAATGAGTTTCATAATCAACCTTTTCTTGATCCATCAAAACAATCAGCAATTTCAAAACTGCCATACGCTCTCCGGGTTGACACTGTCTGTGTGTCACTGGATTATGTGCCCCCTTGAGACGAGGAACCAAGTTGAATTCATTTTTGTACCTCTAGCATTGAACACAGCATTTGGCACAATTTCTGTTAATCAAAGACGGAAAGAAATTACCTTCAAGTCATCCACATGGCACATAAGAGTGAAATATCTCTTTCCCCAAGGAACCATGTTATGTTTATGCTCTTTCCATTAGCAAACTGAAACTTATAGTAATACCATGTGATTCACGTCTTCAAGATTAGTGAGAAAAAAGAAAAATGTCAATCTGCACAGAATTTGCTCAGCTTTATACCTACCTGTACCACTGTAGTTATCACTGAATCTCCTTCCCCCACCACTTTGGAATCAGATAGGCCGGGAGCTGAATTTCAATTCTATCCCTGTTAGCACATGCCCAAACAGAGCTGGGTTACTTATAAATGCTACCACCTAGGATGTCCTTTCAGTTCCTCAAAACTTTGCATACACTCTCTGGAGAGTCCGGCATGATTCACAATAAATAGGCTCTTATAATTGGAGAAATAATAATGGCAATGATTTATATACTTGTCATGTTCCAGACTAATTAACTCACTTAACCTTCACCATGGGTTCTACCCTTTAGCATAGGTTCTACCTTATCCCCATTTTAAAATGAGGGCACTGAAGCACAGGGGTTAAGTAACTTGCCCTGAGTTACACAGGCAGTTGACAGAGTCAGTGGACACACCCTCAATCAGAAAATGCTTCATATTAGATCAGATCCTATGATCCTAGAGTAATCAGAGTCAAAGAAATCCATTGAACCAGACTACTGTTATGCAGATTAGGATTCTGAGTGCTCAAAGGATTCTTCTGAGCACTCAGATTCCCCAAATCCTGATACAACACAATGAAGTAGAAAGACAATGAATTTGGAAATTGAAAAAAACCTTCAGCTGAATTTTTGCTCCTCCCTTTCTATGGGATATGGCTAGGTCACTTTACCTAGATAAACCTCTTTTTTTCTTTTCTTTTTTTTTTTTTACCACAGTAATACCCACTATACTTCAGAAAAGAAACAAATGGTGTCAAAGGTGAAAATGCCTGGCAGATGTTAGGATCTGAATAAACATAAGTTTCTTTCTTTTCTTCAGACCAATGACTATTGCACAAAACTATTAGAACATTTCTGCAGAATGTTACTCTGTAGCCTTAGGAGCTACCTTTAATGCATGAAGAATGATAGGTTCAGTCATCATCATCATTATAGAACCATTTTTCAATATTCTGCATATCTAATCCTGAACATGTGAACATGTGTATTTTTTATGGATTTCAAAAAGAGAAAGAGAGATTTGTTGTTTCACCTATTCATGCATTCATTGGTTGATTCATGCATGTGGCCTGACTGGAGACTGAACCCACAAGTTTGGTGTATCAGGACGACCCTTCAACCAACTGCGCCACCCATCCAGGGCCAAGGCTTCAGTGCACTTTACAATGTCTCCGTTAGTTTTGATTTTGAAGAACTACAATACAGGAATAATCAATGGTTCCTCACAATACTAGAACCAAGCTATTATTGTTTTTTACTTTACTTACAGTGAGATGAGGTATTGAAAACTTAGTTGTACAAAGTAATTTAAAGATTGTTTTAGAAGCTAGAGGAAGCATGATTTATAATAAAATAAAAAACAAAAACCATATCCAAGGTGGGGAACCCCATGGCAAATTACCAGAAGAAATTGGGTGAAATTCAGAAGAACAAATTTTGGACTTAAAACCAGGAAAAAAAGGTTAACAGGGAGAAATATTACAACAGAAAAATTTCCAAGAGGAGAAAGAAATAAAATGTTGGTTGACTCATAGCTGGGCTCACTAAAACAAGAAAAATGATAAGCTTTTCTTATAGAGTACTGAGGTTTTTATTCTTCTAAATATACAAGTTTCTGTTGGTTTCTTGGCATAATTATAACTTTCACATGATCTTCGACTGTTTAATACTTGTCAACACTGATTTTACCATATTGCAATTATTAGCAGGTCAAAATATCCACACTTCCCCCATCTGCAAGACTTCTGACAGTATTTAACATTTTCCTATGTTCAAAAAATTTTCTTTGTAAATGAGTCATTTTATAGGAAAAAATATTCTCACTGCCAGATTGTAGGGTTGAAGTATACAGAGTCAATTTACTTTTCTTCCATGATTCATAGCTGCAATGCTCCAGGAAAGATATATAGTTCTAAAATGGAAATTGGTCATAAAATCATCGAATGTGCAAGGGTCACAATGTCTTTGGAGCCCAATCATAATCAAACTATAAAGTAGTCTGCCAGTATAAATACATAGATTTTTTGAGTAGTGAGAAGAACAGAGTAAGTGGTTTCTTTTAAATACTCTGAACTTAAAAATAAGAATAAAATCCAAAGAAATTATTTGAGATATCACTCTTAGTTTTTAAAATGTATGAGTGTGATTTAAAGTTTATTCTATTATATAATTTTCTTCAAAGTTTTCCAAAATTCCAACAGATATTCTTAGGTACACAGATAGGGTAACTAGGTAACCAAAATCAAGTGTGTATTTTTTAATATCCACTATGGAGTCTTCTAGTCATTGAAAGACTTTATAGCACCACACAATGAAATTTCAAGAATATTCATGAATCTCTGTCTTTCAGTATATATAACTAATACAGAAACTAGTTTGCCATCTAACCCAAGTAGTTTGAATGGTTTAACTGACTGTTCAGATTACTTGACTAACAGGGCACATTAATGTATAAAATCACACCTGAGTTAAGTTCTAATAACTGTGATTCTGTGGGAGGTGAAAAATAGACAGGCAAGGGAAGCTTTCTGAAGACATAGCACAAAGGAACACTGAAGAAAGCACAACACATACAAGGGGGGACCCCCAAAATGGAATTCACTTATAAAAAGTATGTATTTATTCTTACATATTTAAACTTCAGTCACCTTCAAAGTACTCTCCATTTAATGCAATATACCTATCAAGATTTTTTTTTCACTGCTCAAAACAGTTTTTGAACTCATGGATTTTGATACCTTTCCATGCTTCTTCCATTTTTTTATTTCACCTCTTCCACATGGGAAAAATGATTGCCTTTGAGGACTGTCATCATCCAGGAAAAAAAAGTCTTTTGGGGTAAGATTGGGTGAAGAGGGAAGGTGAGGCAGGGGAGTCTTGCCATTTTTTATCAAAAACTGCTGGCCACTCAGCATGGTGCGGACA